AAAATATACCAGCGCCAATGGATGCATGGATATGTGCGCTATATAAATATCCTATATTAATAATAATAATAATAATCTCACTGCGTGTCAGCTCAAACGTGGGCACTTATCTCACGGTGTGTCACCTCAACAGTGGGCACTTATCTCATGGTGTTGTATCTCAAACGTGGGCACTTATCTCATGGTGTTGTATCTCAAATGTGGGCACTCATCTCATGGTGTGTCAGCTCAAACGTGGACACTTATCTCATGGTGTGGTATCTCAAACGTATCACAGTTATCTCACGGCGTGTCAGCTCAAACAGGTCACAGTTATCACATGGTCTGTCAGCTCAAACAGGTCACAGTTATCACATGGTCTGTCAGCTCAAACATGACACAGTTATCACATGGTCTGTCAGCTCAAACATGTCACAGTTATCACATGGTCTGTCAGCTCAAACATGTCACAGTTATCTCTTGGTGTGTCAGCTCAAACGTATCACAGTTATCTCACGGCGTGTCTCCTCAAACGTGGGAAGTTATCCCGTGGTGTGTTATCTCAAACGTAGGGCAGTTATCTCTTGGTGTGTTATCTCAAACGTAGGGCAGTTATCTCGTGGTGTGTTATCTAAACGTAGGGCAGTTATCTCTTGGTGTGTCAGCTCAAACGTGTTACAGTTATCTCACGGCGTGTCTCCTCAAACGTGGGAAGTTATCCCGTGGTGTGTTATCTCAAACGTAGGGCAGTTTTCTCGTGGTGTGTTATCTAAAACGTCGGACAGTTAATCTCATGGTGTGTCAGCTCAAACGCAGGACAGTTATCTCATCATGTGTTATCTTAATCGTATGATAGTTATCTCACAGCGTGTCACGGTATAGTGCGTACAAACCTATAGACACAATTGGTCCATGAAGAGCATGGTAAAAATTAGTCGTCAGCAAGCGCCATAAGAGGCGAGCAAAATGATCGGGTAGACATATGTCATCGTATCCCCATTGTGTAAATCGATGTTCATGACGTCAATCGCTGGGTGGCTAGTCCAGACTCGACTATGTAAACACCGTCGTCATATCGCTAGAATAATAATGAATGAGGCATTAATAAACAAATAAACAAACACGATAACCGGGACGAATCGAGGTTTGAATCCACGATCATAAGTGTTGGTCAACCTCCACTGACCTAACTCTGCAAGTTAATCTCGGCGTCTAAAGTAAACAAAGAACCAAGCATGTTCCCTCCTGATGTGAGAATGCGATGCGTTGGGAATTAGTTCAATCGCTACATCACTTCTTTTAAGTTAATACTTACAAGAAAGCCTATTTATTCAAACCCCAATTATCTGTGTTGCGAACTGCATGTAGCAACCCCCATCCCGCACCGATCTTCGGTACAAACAGAACTCTTACGTCATTAAAAAATACACCTCCGAACGAGGAACAAATTCTCTCTCGCCTATAAGAAAGTGGTGAAAATAGGCTCGGAGTAATTGTACGTGTCAGTTACTGGGTTTACCCTAATGATGTTTGGGCTGTGTGAATGAAACCGACTTCCTAATTGCAGAGCGAGTCTCTACAAATGGGATTTGTTATTACGGCTGAGGGTCGGTCTGTTAGAAGACCCCGAGACTAAAGGAAGCCGGAGAGGGAATCAAATAACGTCGGTTCACGAAGTAGGATGAGAGGCGATGGGGACAGGAGAGCGTAGTTCCGTCAGAGGAAGTAGCCGGATACTGGCGTCAGTGCCTTCAACGCTGCAGCCCCAGTCAGTTGAGAGTCTGCCGAAATACTTATGACCTTTACATGTAACTAAACACATATTAATATTCTTCAGTTAATCTGTCATGCAGATCTGGGATAGAATTGATCTTCAGCAACCCATACTTGTAAGAGGCGATTTTGGGATCGGGTGGTCAGGCTCGCTGACATGGTTGACACATGTCTTCGTATTCCAATTACGTAGATCGATGGTCATGATATCACTGGATTGTCTGGTCCAGACTCGATTATTTACAGACCGCCGCCATATTGCTGAGTGCGGCGTTAAACAACAACCAAACTGTTATGTACTGACAGCGTATGATCTGTCATGGTGCTGCAAAACAATGGAATGACCTTCCTCAATTCATCCGATCCCGGTCCGACTACTAGACATTCAAATCCCTCCCGAAAACTCACTTCTTTTAACAAGCCTACTATTAGTTCTCAGCAATTTACTCGGGGCGGTGGGGTAGCCTAGTGGTTAAAGAGTTGGCTCGTCACGCCGAAGACCCGGGTTCGAATCCCCACATGGGTACAATGTGTGAAGCCCATTTCTGGTGTCCCCCGCCGTGATGTTGCTGGAATATTGCTAAAAGCGGCGTAAAACCAAAACTCAGTCAGTCAGCTATTTACTCAACTTGTGCGCTTTGAGCAGGATATCAAGCCTGGAAAGGTACGTTATAAATATTCTTCTTATTATTATAACATGGAGGTAAAGATTATTCAGTCAAACATGAGTTTAACATACAACTATGGTACTGTAAAATCCCTGACCAAACGAATCTTTCATATTACGAAAGTCCATCTGTCCTGCTATGATAGCGATAATGACATGAAAGAGTCTGATGATCCTCGGCCTCACATAGCGGATTTACTGCTGTAATCAGGTGGTCCTTTCTTTCCCATGGCAGAATAATCAATTATATATTTATACTATAATAATATTATGGAAATATTAAAAATTTGGTTGGTAGTAAACTTTACATTACCGATTTACTACTGTCATATGAAAGAATGGACTGGTCCTTCCCTTTGTATGACAGATTAAGTAGAGAAATATGACTGGAAAGGATCTTCCAACACTGTCAGCGAAAGATTTACAACAACACTATGAAAGAATGAGCTGATAATTCATTCTTTATGACAGATTAAATATAGAAATATGAAAAATCGACCAGTCCTGAACTTTCCAAATATTTACAGCAACAATATAACAGAATGGACTGATCTTTCACTTTTCATAACAGATTATGTACAATATCACGGCGGCGCACGCCTGAAGTCGGTTCCACGCGAGCACATTACCCGTTTGCTGGCCAATCGCCCAACATGTTTTGTCAGTTGAGAAAGATATCCCCTCCCTCCTTCCCTTACAAGGTAGACGCTGTGTCAGGGTATAGTTGCGGCCACTCCTATTCGATTCCACGCTTCTGAACTTACAAAGTAATATTAATTTTATCACTCGATTTATGTCCGGACATTCAAATCCCTTGAAATATTAATTTCCCCTTCGTTTCTTTTGACACTTAATAGATACAGTCAGCTCTCGTTAATCCGACACTTGTGGTTGCAGATAAATATGTCGGATTACCGAGAATGTCGGATTAATGTATTTGTGTGAAAATATCAATGTTTACTAAATGTTGCATGCATATCAGAAATTGTAGATCTAGTTATGGTCTTCGTATGTAAAAACATTCACAGAAATAAAAAATATAATGTATTAATGTAACTGTTTAGGCGTTCAAGTATCTGTTATTACATATGCAACAACCGTGATTTGTTCTTGTGTTGTTTGTTGACGACCATTTTCTGTCTCGATAGCGAATGCATGTACTTAATTAGGTCTGGACCAGACAAACTAGTGGCTGATAGTATGATGACCGTTCGAGTAATGTGTTTGACCACACGGTTCCTCTCATTCGTAAAGACCCGGGTTAAAGTTGGTCTTAAGCACCATATGCTTGTTGTAATAGGCCACTAACGGAATCGAGTGATCAGGCTCACTGAATAGGTTGACACGAGGCAATGTATCCTGATGACGTGGATTGATGCCATGATGTCTATCACTGGAATGTCTGGTCCATCATATACCTTATATATTGCCGAGCGCGACTAGAAACAGCGACAAAATAGCAAAAAAGTACACATACGACAGGCAAGGGGTGCTCAGACCTACCCTCGACTTGATTTCAGCTATCGCATTAATAAAAAACGATAAACATATCACGAATCACAGGCAGGATATAAGTACAAACGTGCCTTATGTTTATCATGTAGATTAAGAAAGGGTTGACCTTTCTAAAACCAAATTATGTTTTTATATGATAAATAGACTTATGATCGAACATATGTTGACAAGATGATCCCGTTGTTAGCCTGGAGAATGCATATTTCGATATCCGACTGTGCATTCTTGGCTTACGACGACTGTATGGCATAATCAGGACAGGGGGGATTGTGGAACGTCGCATGTTAACGCAACGTTGTCGGCCAACGACACGTCCAACAAATGGAGGTGTAGATACTTCAAAAGTTAAATCCCTGTCTAAATTTAAATATTGTTTCTTCACCTGTTCATCAATTTTGTTGTTTGGACAGCTGTCACAATTGTCAGTTAGGACAGAGGGTTTGATTTTAACATACTTTATTCATGAGGAAAGCGATTGGGAACGAAGTTTCACGACTTTCATAGCCTTCTCCTAGAATATGAACATGATTGTGGTAAAAATATCACTATGTACAGAATATTTAATTTAAATTTAATCGTGTGTTTGATAGAAATGTGAACAGTGTGTAAGCACGGTACAGCTGAGAGTGGCACTCTACATTTAGCAATATTGATTTATCAGGGACCTGCCCGTGTGTACAAATTTTGAAGTTGCTGTGATACGTGAATAGTTTTTGTAAATTCATAAAATGGACATTCCTTTAAGATGAGCTCTTCGGTAGGAGTTGTTTTGTAAGTGTTCATTGGATATTTTGTAGCGATGTTGATAGCCAGACGTTGTACGAAACAGCCCCTCCTATTCCTATCAGACATGGGGATTGCGATAACCTGGCTATATTGGTGGTGTTGCAAAAACAACGCATTTCGCTACTCCAGCACGTGCGGTCCCAAGGGGAACATGCACGTGCTAGGCGTGGATAATGTACACAGGGAGTTCAGTCACATTCTTTCCTTAAAAATTCCTCTCATATGAACATGCTACCTTAGTCTCAGTATATCTGACAAATATCTGACACTGTACACTCACTTGCATGTACTTCTGTATACAATACGCGGGAAACTGGAACACATATTCTTAGGTGGAATGTTACGTAATTACTTGTACAGTACAATTACGTAATTGATCGGTCCAGCAAATGTACGACCAAATTTATGTCTCAATGACTAATCTTAATCCTAAACACAATCAAGGAAAGAGTTCTTTATATTCACAAAAAGTTTTTGAGGCCAAGGAAAACAATGTCACGTGGGTTTCCAAAACTCAAACGATGCTTTTTTTGATATCTCAGACAAAGGGCAAAAGTCGGTTCTGTCAAACCATTTACTGTTTCACCATCCCATAGGACAAACTTTAGGCTTGGTCCATGGGTCGTTTGTAACACAATGGGATGGCCAGATAGATACAGTTACACATTGGTATTCAGAGCATGGGCGGATCCAGGAATTTTGAAAGGAGGGGGTTATGAAGTATATGAAGTCATATGAAGTCTACTGAGAAAACAATCCTTGTAATGATTAACTTCCTCGTTGACAGCATCTATGTAAAATGTGACATTTATGCTAGAAGTAGGCATCCCATGGGCACCATTTCTGCTCCCCTTCTGGCAGTCGGTATCTTATTGCATATGAATCGGAAATTCTGGTTGGATTGACAAAGTCAAATGAAGGTAATTTTGGTCAAAACGTTATAACGACACATTAGGTACAGTTATATCTGTTTGATAGTGATTCATTAACACATGCTCATAACATATTCGGAATCTTACCCACGTGGCATTATTTCTCTTGGCCTCAAATACTTTTTTGTGAATGTAAAGAACTCTTTCCTTGATTGTGTTTAGGATTAAGATTAGTCATTGAGACATAAATTTGGTCGTACATTTGCTGGACCGATTCATTACGTAATTGTACTGTACAAGTAATTACGTAACATTTCACCTAAGAATATGTGTTCCAGTTTCCCGCGTATTGTATACAGAAGTACATGCAAGTGAGTGTACAGTCAAAGATATTTGAAGTTTATAACAACACTTGATATTTTATGAACATAGAGACTTTTCTGGGTTTCACCTTCTTTTTATTGTTTGGTAGTCGGAATCTTACAATCGACTCTGCTTTTTTTGCAGAGGTTTCTTGTATTTTCGCATACATTGTATATTCATTACCGTCAGCCAAGCGGAATAGGGAAACAGATCGACTTAAACATTATATAAACGACATAGAACCGGATATATTAGTAACGCTGACATGATTTTCATTTGTTACCAAACATATTAAAAACAAATTGTGAGTTTGTGCTTCAGCGCCAGGAGCAGCACAATATGGCACGGGCGGATGGAGTCGGATCATTAGAACTACCACGTGACCCAGCCATAGAACACGATGAACGCAGGTTCACCCAACCGTGACCCGCGGGGAAACCACCTATCGTGTATGATCAGACGCCACAGGAGCAAATTGAATTATGCTGGGTGAACATTGTTCCTCGGGCAGTTATAATCAACCATTCAGCTTTAATGGAGGGAAGTTTTCCCTCAGCGCTCAGAGAAGCGAGGGTTATCACATGCAAGAGTCTTTGTTCTTGAAGGCTCTCGTTCTGGGATGTTATAATGAAGATTTATCAACCAGGCGGAACTAATTCAAAACATTATACAGTGAGTGTTCTTGTTAGGTAAAGGCTAGCAAATGAGTGGACCACATACTTTGAATAAGAAAGTCATAAAAACTGCCAGGTTTGGAATTTATTATTAAGGAGATGGGAGTAAAGTATTATTGGGGGTAATATTGCCTATTATTATTGGGGTTAATAATCCCCATCACACTGACCTTGGTCGTGTGGCTGATACAAGGTTCCAGATTACCTTAGACATATATGTTTGCACGGGAAATCAGAACTGCGCAATAAATGGTTTCAAACTGTTTCCATACAAATATTTTCTAACTGGCTTTTTCCATTTTCAGAGTTGGTGGCCTGTGTGGGGGTGGTTGGGGGTAGGGATTGGGGTGGGAGGGTGGGGTCGTGCACTTGAAATGAGAAACACCCCGGGTAACTGTGATTGACACATCCCGGGACTAAATTCCGCTGGTAAGCCAGCCAGTCAGCTATATGTTACACTGATTAAAACATGTTGCGAACAGATTTTCTGATGAACCTTTTATGTGTCAGCATGATTGATATGTTTTGAAAAAATCCCAGTGTGATTGTGAGTGTGCGTCTGTGTATCTATATGCGTATGCGCCTGTTTCAATGAACGTGCATGCTCCCCTGCAGACGATCAGCACTGGGTTGGCGAATGATCGACTCTGTCGTAGCGGCCGTCATTGCAAGTTGAATTCCAAACAGAAGCTATTTGCATAATTTGAGTTTTCTTAGTAGATCAGAAAGCGCCCCTGTTCATGTTTGTTAAGTATCTCAATCCCTGCTACCTTGTACCCATAGCGCTATTGAGAAAAGGAGGGGTGCAAACTTCATTTTCACCCGAGTTTCAATGGTCATTTAACAAACTTTCAGCACAAAGAGGGGGTGGGGGTGGGTGGGTGCGCAACCCCCTCTAGATCCGCCTATGGAATTTAAATAATACATCTTTCTACAGCAGTAATTCTTGGATATATTTCTTCAGGTTGTGATTCACAGTTTGCACGCGCATGTTAAACGGCGCACGGGATATTTGCGTGTTAGTTGGAAGCGAGACACTCAGACACGTGGTTCTGGAATGCAGACACTCACAATGATTGTGTATCTTTCAGCTGCCCATAAAACTTGTTTGTTTCACCATAAATAACGCTTACGTAATGCCACAGCTTGATTAATATTGGCGTCACTGGCTAGACCGGAAACCGGAATGTGCAAACGAAACTGCAAGACGTTTTAATGTTCATCGAAACATATTTCTTTGGAGAAATCGGGGTTTCGATTCCCGAAATCAGTAACACATTCCTGGTGTTATCCGCCTTGAAAAGATGTGAATGGTGCTACAATCAACACGATACCATTTCCACTTACGAGGGTACCGCGATTCCTCATTATGGCATAAACCATTAAATGAAGATTTCTGTTATTTCCCACCGTAGCATTGCTTGGAAATTGCTAAAAGCAGCTTAAAAACATACTCACTCAAAAAGAGAATTAGAAGCTGGGTACCTCTGTCCAGTGGGAGGGCCATATATCAAAGGGCTACAATTAATGTTCCATATCATGGTACTCATATCATAGTCATGGTAATTAACATATGTGCTAAAATAAGAGAGATTGAAATTGCAGATTTTGTCGTACCTTTGTACAGTTTGGGCAGTATTGATTAAATCGGAGAAACAGGTCCGTAATAAACCTGAACAGGAGATTGAGAAAGAAACCCCAAGATCATATCTGATTCTTTTTATACATAATATATTCATGTAAACACATTTATGTATAACTATAATAATTTTCTTATCATTTATCTTGCTATATAGAGAGAGGAGATTGGAGGTTAAGGGGAGGTAAGATGAGGTTGTAGAACATTGTAATAATTGAATGGTATGCTTAAAAGAATTTTCTGATTAAATTTAACTTTTAACTTTTAAAATAAGATACCGGTTATCATGCTTTTCTAAATTTCAAATATGTTAAAATAATGGGTGTTATTGACTATCCACACTTTCCAGTTTTTATATCTGCTCTCAGGGTGGTACTTGACCCCACGTTGCCTACGTATCAACAATATGGCTTCTGCCCGACCCCCTCTCGGCGGTTGTTGTAACCGCCAATACCAGTAGATTTAGGGGTAATATTTAAAGACGCTAGAACACAGCGCCACCTGGCGAACATTTCCCACAGGTGGGTTTCCGCGTGGCGAGCCGTCAATCTGTAGGGGATCTCATCTACACGAGCAGGCGGCATCAAAGTCCATCAGGTATTTCCGTGTTCCGGATAATGTAACCCTTGTTCCGGACATGGAGACTGTGTACCACCCAGGATGAGGTATCACACAGCCTTATCATCATCCTTGTGTATACAGCATAAAACAAACACTCGCCTCTCACGATAAGCGTCGGCTGCTGAAAACCAGTTTCATCTTGGTTTGTCAGGATCAGTCTTTAGTGAAAGCTAATGTTTTAGCCGTAAAAGGGCTTTAAACATTTAGTCAGTTTAGGGATTCGAACCCGGTTAATCGGTTTGAGGTGCGAACAAAATTTACCATTCTGGCTACCCCATCGCCGGGGTTGTACTAGAGGCGGCCCGCCTCTTACTGATACAAACAGGCTGGCCGTTTTGTAGTTATTACTGTTTCAATATTGGATATTTATGTTATAGAGAGAATGAATTTTGTCAGGGAGTGCGTGATTGTGAGCACGCTTGCACAACCACGTCTGTACATCTGGCATACACAATGAATACATCCTGAGTACATAGGACGGTGAAAGAATGCGTAAATAGTGTCAATGCACGTGAGTGGATATGGTCATATCACTCACTCATATACACACGCACACACACGCTAGCTCACACTCACAAGGTCAAAGATAAGTACGACCACTTATGTCAACACACAATAAACTCTCCAACAGAAAATATGACGTTACAATGACACAGAATGTGATAATATAGACCTGTCATTACTTAAATGTGAGTGAGTGAGTTTAGTTTTACGCCGCACTCAGCAATATTCCAGCTTTATGGCGGCGGTCTGTAAATAATCGAGTCTGGATCAGACAATCCAGTGACCAACAGCATGAACATCGATCTGCGCAATTAGGAAGCGATGACATGTGTCAACCAAGTCAGCGAGCCTGACCACCCGATCCCGTTAGTCGCCTCTTACGACAAGCATGGGTTACTGAAGATTCATTCTAACCCGGACCTTCACGGGTCTAAACTGACATAAAGACATTCTAAAATCATCTTGATATATCAACGTTTACCCTTCAGACCTGGGACTTCTATCACCTCAAGGCCCCGAGCCACACAGCGTTCGTAGCGCTACGACATTCGTAAGCATATGATTAACTATAGAGTTACGACAGGTTTACAGACCGCCGCCATATAGCTGGAATATTGC